TGGTCAATGACATGAGACAAAGTATATGTGAACTGCTGTATGAAAAGTGAATTTACTCTGTAAATCTTCACCCAAATCCTAATAAAATAAATAAATAAATAAATAAATAAATGGAAAATTTTGCACTCTACCAAATAAAGATACAGATCAAATGAAATAAAATGAAACTTAATTTTCTCTATTAAAAAACTCAAACCACTGTCATCAAGTCAATTCTGACTCATAGCGACAACCCCTATTGGGTTTTCAAAGCTGTACATCTTTACGGAAGCACACTGCCTCATCTTTCTTTCATGGAGTGGTTGGTAGGTTTGAACCACTGACCATTTATTTGGTTAGAACCCAAATGCTTTAACCACGACACAACCAGAGCTCCTTATTAAAAGATTACTATATTTAATTCATTCATTCAACAAACATTAGAGTGTCTATTATGTGCACTGAGAAGAATGGGAATCCCAGAAGACTTAATTGTGCTCATGAGGAACTTTACATAAACCAGGAAGGCAGTCTTTCAAACAAAACAAGAGGCTAATGTATGATTTATAATCAGAAAAGTTGTGCATCGATCGGGGTTGTATTCTTTCCTCATACTTATTCAACCTGTATGCTAAGCAAATAATCTGAGAAATTATACTCTATGAAGAACACAGTATCAGGATTGAGAGGGCCTCACTAACAACCTGCAATATGCAGATGACATAACCTTGCTTGCTGAAAGCAAAGGCTTGACACACTTACTGATGAAGATCAAAGACTACAGCCTTCAGTATGGATTACACCTCAACATAAAGAAAACAAAAATCTTCACAACTAGACAAATAAGCACCATCACAATAAACAGAGAAAAGATTGAAGTTGTCAGGGATTTCATTTCACTTGGATCCACAATCAACCTTCATGAAAACAGCAGTCAAGAAATCAAACTAAACACTGTACTGAGGAAATCTGCTGCAAAAAACCTCTTTAAAGTGTTTGAGAACAAAGATATCACTTTGAAGACAAAGGTGAGTCTGACCCAAGGCATGGTATTTTCAGTACTCTCATACGCATGTGAAAGCTGAAGAATGAATAAAGATGACAGCAGAAGAACTCATGCATTTTAATTGTGGTGTTGGTGAAGAATACTAAAGGTACCATAAACTGCTAGAATGAACAAATCTGTCTTAGAAGAAGTACAGCCAGAATGCTCCTTAAAAGCGAGAATGGCCAGACTTTGTCTCTTATACTTTGGTCTTGTTGTGTGAAGGAACCAATCCGTGGAGGAGGATATCATGCTTAGTAAAGTAAAATGTCAGCAAGAAAGGGGAACACCCTCAACGAGATGCACTGACACAGTGGCTACATGATGGGCTCAAGAGTAGTAATTGTGAGGATAACGCAGGACCAGGTAATGCTTTGTTCTGCTGTACACAGGGTTTCTGTAAGTTAGAACTGACTCAATGATACCTAACAGCCTCCTGAACTTTAAGAATATAAATTTCTCTTCCTTAACGCCATTCACTTATGGTATTTTGTGTGTGTGTGGTAGCACTAGGAAATGGAGACCCTCTCTAAATTTCCTTCCAATATCAACGATATATAATGCTATGATCACAATGCTAACCTTACAGCTCAAAAACTAAGAAATATAGAATTTTTTTAAAGTTTGACAGATTTTAAAATTAAGAGCTCTGCAAATGTACTATAACATGTAAATGAATTTTTGAATCATGGATATTTTGTCTACACATTAAATAAATTTTATGTGTATAAAATTTTGTGTGGAAAAAATCTCTCATATACTATAGCTACTTGACCCCATGATCAAAAATCACATAAATTACTCACAATTTAACATCCTCTAGAACATTTTTTGACTGTGCTGATCCAAGGAAACAAGCTGGAATGTTAGACATTCTATAAGAAGAAAAACAAATATTCTGGGGTCATTTGCACATGATAAATATCAACTTCATACTCAAAAGAAAATAAAGAAATACAGTAATATGTACTCCTCCTCTTTGCAAGCTTCTTTTTTTGTAACTCACCAATTTAATTAAAAAGTTCTTTTAAGGGTAATATTAAAAGATAGGTTCTTAGATCAATCTTTCAAAAAGACTATAGGCTCATATCAAAAAAGTTTACATGTTTGTCATATTTTTAAAATATCCCTCCATATATGCACTTCATATCAAGTTAAAGAGCAAGGATAAAGGAAAGAGAACAGAATTTCAAGATATTTAATGTAAAATGGCATAAAGTAATACTGCTATAAAAAAATTCATTGGGGATTATCTGGTAGCCTTGAATTACACAAAACTCAAGAAGGAGGGTAAGCTCTTCCACGAAAGTGTCATTTATTACTAATAAATATAAAGCACCACTTATAGAAATGTGTCAGTGGGAACAAGGGTTTAACATATACAATAAACTGTTCCCCTGATGGAAGAAATAAAATCTGTTCAAACCAAACCCACTGTCACTGAGTTGATTCTGACTCACAGCAACCCTACAGGACAGAGTAGAACTGCTCCATAGGGTTTCCAAGGCTGTAAATCTTTATGGAATCATACTATCTCATCTATCTTCTATACAACAGCTGGTAGATTCGAACCTCTGAATGTCTGGTTAACAGCCGAACGCTTTAGGAAAAAATTAAAAGAGGAGGATAATGTGGCAATAAAAACATTACGTACTCAAGCTGGAGCACTTGATCTTCCATCAAAGAAATAAGAGGAGAAATGACAAAGCCAATCTTGCCTGCATATACAGGTGGATACTGGAAGCATAAACTCTTTCCATAACCTTAAGTTAAAAATAATATAGTAATAGAAATAAAAATAAACTCTGCATGCTATAATTTCTTCATATAATATGCTAGTAAGGACTGAATAATACTTACTGATATTGAGTCAATTCCTACTCATAGCAACCTTCATTGCATTTCCAAGACTGTAAATCTTTATGGAAGCAAATTGGCTCATCTTTCTTCTACAGAGCAGTTGGTGGGTTTGAATCACCAAACTCTTGGTTAGCAGCCAAATGCCTTAACCACTACATAACCAGAGCTCCTTAAGGGATGAATGGTGACTAGTAATATGCTATCTTCAAAAGAGCTAATTCATATATAATTTGAGTATCTATTCTCTGTTTAATCTCTTCTATGTTTTTATACCATTTGTATTTGTACTTTGAGAGTTCAGCATAAGATCAAACATTAAATATCTTCCCATTTTTTTAAGGATTATGTTATTTGCTTAAGTACAACTCACCAGTTGCCATGACAACAACATTATCTCTTCTTTCTTCCAATACAGAATGAATCACTTTCCACTGAACCCTTGAGAGTAAAAAGCAAAACATAATTTTATTTTACTAATAAGAAGCCTAAAGAACAAGCTGAAACCCTTTTAATTTTTTTACTTTCTCTAAAAGAATTTCTTTGACATTTTTGAACTTCATATATAAACATGTACAAATCCTAGAACTTTAAAACAAACATCGGTATTTGATCAACGTCCCATTCTGCTGCCTAAATACCAGGAGTTTCCATTTGGCATATTTATTAAATTTTATTACATGTATCTGGAGTATGAAATAAAATCCAAGCTTCATACTGGACATCTAATAGAACCAATGATTTAAAAGAAACGAGAAATGCTCCAGGGGCAAGGATTCACTAGAAGGGAAATGAGGACACTTTCTGGGGTAAAGCTAATGTTCTATATCTTGATAAGAGGTTTGGTTACATGAATGCACATGTGTACACTTAAGATTTGAAGTATACAATTAAAGTTTATATATTTCACTGTATATAATTTTTACGACAAAAGAAAAAACTCTAAACAAATACTGAACTGTAATTAAAGATTTGTATGCTTAAGGACTTAGCAGGAAAGATAAAAATGTTAGTATTTTATTTTAAATAAATGTTAAAAATTAGATCAATAATAAAGATGGACATGTGATAATATTCAGTTGAAGTACAGTACAATGTTAATGGTAGACTCTAGGTGGTGAGTATACAAGTATTTACAGTAAAAAGAAAAATCTTTACTATCTTTAAAAATTTTTTAGTAAAATTTTGAAGGAAAAATCGAAAAGGAGGTCATTTTTTGTACTGATAATGATCTATTCTTGATGTAAGTGCTGGTACTGTTTGTGAAAATTCATTAATCTGTGCATTCATGTCCACTTCCTTGTAAGACATTCTTTAATATAAAAAAATGTGTAAGTTCAGGAGAAAAATGCTTCAGTAGTTTAATCTGTAAATTCTCAGAATAGGAAAAATCTAGTCTAGATTTTCATATTCTTCTTAGTTTCATTCAAATTTACTTGTTCCTTATCTCACTTTTTTTCATCTCATTTTAATTATTATTAATGTGCCCCTAAAACATAAATACATGAGTATGTTCAAATAGATAAGGTTATCACTGTTCTTAAAACTGCTGTCTTATGATGACCTCTATTATATCAGCATGCTTTGGGCAATACAATGCACAAGACATTTAACAGGATGTAAGTCAGTGTCAAACTGATATTCACTTATTAATGTATTTAGAGTCTACACAGAACATCTATAAGGAAAACCATTTTCCTCACTCATAAAAATAATTCACAGAAATGAATTTTATATAAATATCACTTCAAAATAACTGTGTAGTCACTTATAGGAAATATACTACTGTATGGATAAACTATAGTGAAGCTGTACTGTTACTGTTAAGTGGATGAATTTTTTATCATTTTTCTTTTGTGAATAAAATAGTAAATATATAATTTAATAACTAAGATTATACTCACGGCTTAAAACTGGAATGGCCAAAGTAGGTCTTAAGGCAAGTAACTTGTTCTGCATTGGGTTCTGGTATCAAATAGTCTTAAAATGAAATAAAATAGGTGTTTAGGTTTAAGAAGTGCAGTACATTAGAGTGAAAGAAAAGCTTTATTTCACTGGCTTAGTTTAAAAAAGACAGTGAAAGTTACCATAGTTTTTCTATCTTTTCAATCCAATCCGTTTTATGGATAGCCACAAGATTATTCTCTCTACAATGTGATATGGTTGAGATCATTGATTCTCTAACATGATAGATTACAGAAATAAGGCATCCAGTTCCTGCCCTCCAGAATCTCACAATAAAATGTAGGATGCAGATAAGTAAACAGACAATAAGAACAAAAAGTACGAAAACTGCCATGACAGACATGGGTATTAGTAAAAAGTAACGAAAGTCCGTAGGAGGGGGTCTTATGGGAGGAAAGGGGCAGGGAGAAATGAAAAGTTTTCCCAAGGAGGTGATACCTGAACACATCTTGAAGATCTATTAGGAGTTAAGCAGGCATAGAAGTGGGAAAGAAGTCTTTCAAGTAGAGAGACAAGGATGTGCATAAGCATACTTTTGGGGTAAAAACAAGGACAACACAGCCTGCAAGGCTTAAAATATCTACTATGTGCACCTTAACAGAAAATGTTTGTGACCTCTGGTATAAATTGTTCAGCTACTCCAACTATTCCATTAAAAAATATAATGTATTGAAAAATGCAGACACACACACACACACACACACACACAACAAAAACAAAAATAAGAGATGTTTATGACTCTAGTGCTACACCAAAATTATCTAGTCAGTAGAGTGTAATGAAATACAAGCAATCCTTGGGTTATGAACTTCCAAATTATGGAGGACTCCTACTTGCCCTTCAATGTTATGTAAATTTGCCCTTGATTTGCCATGACTCGCAACAAATTTTTCATCACAATCACCTTAACTTGCTGCATGTACAGCTTTTAATCCTGTTACTATAAAATTATTTTTGTTTGTATTATTTTGTAGAGATAATGTTTTTGTACTAATGGAATGCATGTTTAATAATGAGTGTTTTTAAATTTTTGTTAAGAATGATGAATTCTTATAAATATCATGTGAGACACATAAGTCCCAAAGTACTCTGGTGGTAGGAAAGGTGGGATGAAACATGGAAAAAATATTAACTCCAATATTACCTAATCCTGAACACCGTACCTTCTTAATAACACACCTTCTGGGTAGCAGTCAAATGCCTTAAGAACTATGCCACCAGAGGTCCCAAATAACACACAGGAAACAGTAAATATACTTACAAACCTTACATTACTTAACTCATAGAAGCCTCAAGACAAAAGTTTTACACACTCACTCCTCCAGGGTACACTACCTATGAGGTAACCTCTTAACACAGAAATATGTCCCCAGTAAATTTCCTTCTGTTTTAGTTATGGAAGTCCACAAGCTGATGCCAACATGTACTAATCATTGGAAAAAAGCTTCGAAAAAACCCAAGAGGCAGAAAATGAAAGTGGTACGTATATGTACCATGGGTTATAAAAGAATTAAAACACTGAAATGACTTCAAGCCTTTTCCTGCACTAAAATAAGGGATATCATTGCTGATGTCAGATGGATCTTGGCTAAAAGCAAAGAATACCAGAGAGATATCTACCTATGTTTTACTGACTGTGCAACAGCATTCAACTATGTCGATCATAACAAATTATGGGTAACATTGCAAAGAACAGGAATTCCAGAATATTTAATTGTGCTCATGAGGAACCTGTACACAGACCAAGAGGCAATCATTTGAACAGAACAAGGGGATACTACATGGTTTAAAACTAGAAAAGGTGGGTGTCAATGTTATATCCTCTCACCATATTTATTTAATCTGTATGATAAGCAAATAATCTGAGAAAGAGGACTATATGAAGACAAATGCACCATCAAGATTAGAGGAAGACTCATTAATAACCTGCCATGTGAAAATGATACAACCTTGACACACTGAAATTGAAGATGACTTGAAGCACTTATTGATGAAGATCAAAGACTACAGTCTTCAGTATGAATTATACTGCAACATGAAGAAAACAAAGTCCTCACAACTGGACCAATAAACAACATAATGATAAATGGAGAAAAGACTTAAGTTGTCAGGGATTTCATCTTACTTGGATCCACAGTCAACACCCATAGAAGCAGCAGTCAAGAAATCATATGACATACTAAACTGGGCAAATCTGCTGCAAAAGATCTCTTCCAAGTGTTGAAGAGCAAAGATACCACTTTGAAGACTTAGGTGCACCTGACCCAAATCATGGTATCTTCAATAACCTCATATATGTGAGAGCTGGACAATGGATAAGAAAGGCCAAAGAAGAACTGATGCATTTGAATTGTGGTTCTGGTGAAGAATACTGGATATACCAAAGACTGCAAGAAAAATGAACAAATCTGTCCTGGAAGAAGTGCATCCAGAATGCTCCTTAGAAGCAAGAATGGCCAGACTTCATCTCACCTACTTTGGTCATACTGTCCGAAGAGAGCATTCCCTGGGGAAGGATATTATGCTTGGTAAAGTAGACGGTCAGCAAAAATGGGAAGACCCTAAACAAGATGGACTGACACAGTGGCCACAACAAAGGGCTCAAGCATAGGGAAGACTGAGGCCAGCATGGCGCTGAGCAGTGTTTCGTTCTGTTGTAAACAGGGCTGTACATAGGCCTCACTATGAGTTGGAATTGACTCGAAGACATCTACCAAGAGCTAAAACAAAGTAAGGCTAAATAAGAACCTGATGCACCCAGTCCAACTGAGCTATAAATTCTAACAGACTGACTGAGGAATGGACCATGGACTGCTGTAGTCAATTAATGGAACAATTATATATCTGTTTCAGGTAGAAGGACTCTGGTGGTGCTGTGGTTAATACACTGAGCTGCCAACCAAAAGACTGGCAGTTTGAAGTCACTAGCTGCTCCCAGGAGAAACATGAGGTGTTCTATTTATGTAAAGATTACAGCCTTAGAAACCCTATGAAGCAGTTCTAGTTCTACTCTGTGCAACACACAGTGTGTGGGTTTCAGGTAGAATCACAGAAAGTTAGATTTAGAAAAGAATCTTACAGATTATCTGATTAAACTGCCTCTTTCAAAAAGTAAGCTCACTTTGGAAGCTTCAAGGAAAAAAAAAAGCTGCACCCAATGGCACTTAAATGAGAACCCCTGGCAGTAGAACTCAGGCATTAGCAGTTTTAAAACTCCTCAGGTGATCTCAAGCATATTTGGGAAACCTGCCTTAGAGCTCCATACTAGAATCACCTGAGGAGTTTTAGAAATCCTAGGACAAACCGTATCAGTTAAATAAAAAATTCTGAGAGTGGGGCTCAGGTAGCAGGGTTTTTCTTTAAATACCTCATATGACTCCAAAGTGCAGCTAAGTTTGAGAATGAAAGGTAAAGAGTATGTATTATGTACTAGGCCAGAGTTGTAGGATCTGGGTCCCAGTGACTACTCAGGAAAATTAGCTTACTGCATTTTAAACCAGTCTTACAACATGTGAACAGGTGCCATTAATCTTCCTTGTTTCTTTATGTGACTAACTTAGATCCTGAAAGAACAAAATATTAGGTCCATCTGAATAACTATCAGCTAACCCTGGTGGCAAAGTAGCTAAAGTGCTCAGCTGCCAACCAAAACAGTCAGCAGTTGTAACCTACCAACTGCTCTTCAGGAAAAAGTCCCATAAAAATTTATAGCCTTGAAAGTTCTATGGCTAGTTCTACATTGTCCTATATGGCAGCTACAAATTAGAATCAACTCAACAGCAGTGAGCTGGTTTGTTTGTTTGTGTTTTGGGAGGGGAGGGGGGTACCAATCATGACTCCAGGTAAACACTCTGATTGTTACCTAATTCTAAGGATTAGAATCTTGCAGTGATTCACACAAGTGAACCACTTATTCACATTGTGAAAAACCAATGCTTAGAAATCTGCTATACTTTTAACTAACATTTAAATGCAACTATGGCAAGCAATGTACCAAATTTTATAATATAACCAAGTTTCAATTAATGGTAATCAGAAACTACATTGTGTCACAAATTAAATCCACAGTTAAGTCTTCATTTTAATTACTACTCCATCAATTCTTTAACCAAAATTCAAAATACATAGCATAATGGAATTATATTAGTTTTAGCCAACTAATTTTATTGTCCACTCTTAGATGGAGGGTTGATGAGTAGCTAGAAGGGTCAAAGCAAAGAATCAAGACAACGTATCACTAAACAAATCAAAGTCCATTACAATTCTCGGCTTTAATACTTTTAACTATAAAATTAAACTGACTTGGAGAAATTGTGACTATGTTTAACAAAAAAGGAAATACAATTTTTCAGCATATTTGAACTTAAGTGTATTTTGTATATATTTACAATTAAATAATAAGAGACTTATTTAGTAGATTCCTTACTATTGCTACCACACAGTCTGAACGTAAGTTCACACACAATGACTGTGCTACTTGTTTTAAATTTTAAGCTTCTGAAGGGCAGACATTATGTCATCTATCTCATTTACTATGATACTTAATATAAGTAATTAATTAAGGATTTATGACTTCCATTAAGATACAATCAGAATATAAAATTCAGGCAGAAAAGTTCCACATCACCACATTCACTAAATGAGACAATACTTCTATTACCATATTTTTACAAATAATAAGATTGCACTTTACGGATATCAAAGAACTGAGGAATTTAAAGGTAAGGTTTTATGTCTTAGTGATTAATTATATGCCATAAAGTCTTTGACCTCCAAAATATTTAAAAACTGGACCCTAAATGAAGTCAGTCATAGGTATTAGAGGTTGAGTCTTTTCAAACATATTCCAGTACTTACCCTCTTCACCTTCTTCTTCCTCCACAGTATCTTCATTTTCATCTTCATCATTTTCACCAGTAGGAAGACCCACATTTCTTTCCATTTCTAAGCATTTAGAATGAATTGGATCTACCATGTTCCCACTTACGCTTTCTAAAGACTGAGAATTTAAAAGAAATTTTAAAAGCAAAACCAGTGACATTGTCCTATCTTTTCTACCAAGCACAAAAGGAGTATTATTAACAGAGCCTACAATTTTGTTCAAAGCCAGCAGATGTGCAAGCAATACCACAAAAGAACATGTGTGCTCCATTTTAAATATGCACTCAAGAATAGTTTCTAAGGCACAAAGCCAAAGATGGATACTTCCAGCATAAACAGAGTTCATTAATAGCAAATAATGAATTGCCCCTGGGGAAAGCAATTGTAAATTTTATATTTAGAGAATTTAAAACATTTTTCTTTATTAAAGTATTTTCAATGTGCAAGCCATAACGGAGTTTT